ATATTAATATGTTTAAGGTTGACTTCGGTCAACATTTTTGGTAAACGAACCCGGACCCTAGATTGGACGGTCCCGGAAGGTCCGTAGAAAAATATGGGACTCGGGCATGTGCCCGGAGTCGAATTCCGAGGTCTAGAGCCCGAGAAATGAATTTTTCTATGAAATTGTTTTTCTGAAATTAATAAGGAAAATGGAAATGAAAATTTATTAAAAGATTGTGGTATTGGGCTCGTATTTTGGTTCCGACGCCCGGCACAGGTCTTATATATTGTTTAAGCGCTTTCTGTGAAGTTTGGTCGAAATTGGACGTTGTTTGACGTGTTTCGAACCTAAATATCTAAAGTTAGAAGTTTATGAAGTTTGAAATGAAAATGATGATTTTGAGGCTTGATTCAATGACTTTGATGTTATTTTGGCGATTTGATCGCTCGAGTAAGTTCGTAGGACGTTACTGAGTTAGTGTGTGTGATTGGTTAGGAGCCCCGAGGGCTCGGGAGTGAATTGGAGGTGGTTCGGGGTATTTTTGGCCTTAGAGTTGTTGCAGAAGTTCTGCTTCTGGTGTTCAGAGAATTTGTTCTCTGCGATCGCGATTTCATTCCTGCGATTGCATAGAGTCTTCTCCAGGCATTTCCAAATTTCTTCAACGCGATCGCATAAGTTGTCCCGCGATCGCATAGTCTGACCAGTTTCTCCAATGCGATCGCACAGCTTTACACTTCGCCCAAAAGTCTTGGCTTCCCTTCTTCTATGCGAACGCACGAATTGTTCTGCGATCGCGGAAGCCAAGCTTCCACTCCTCTATGCGATCGCATCAATTGCCCCGCGATCGCATAGACCAAAAACGCCCAGTTATTGAGGCTATGTGTTTGTATTTGAGTATTGATTCTTTATTCATTGTGAACCTAAGCTGTTTTTAGTGGTTACTCTGGATTGTTGTTAATATTGTATCTCCCCTTAGCATGTCTCCCCTCCCATGTTGTTAATTGCTTTGTATTCGATTTCCGTGGTATATTTATAACTGCACAGGTTTACGTGGTGTCCGGTCTAGCCTCGTCACTACTTCGCCGGGGTTAGACTAGACACTTACCAGCACATGGGGTCGGTTGTGCTGATGCTACACTTCTGTGCATTTTTGCACATGTCCAGGTTTTGAGGAGCAGCAGCAGCAGTAGTACGGGAGCAGGCTTTCATATCACGAGACTGAGGTAGCCTTGCAGGCGTCCGCAGGCCCGGCGTCTCTTCTTTATTGTTTTCTTTTAGACTGTTGCCTCCTTGTTTCGAGACAGACATCTGTTATATCTCTTTAAGACCTTTGTATTTAGTTTATTCTTAGTGGTTCGTGAGTAATGTGACACCAAATCTTGGGTAGAGGTTGTTTTTGACTATTCCGCGTTTTAAATTCATCATTTTAAGACAGACTTCCGCTATTGTTCTTATTAGACTTTATGTTCTATACCGATCTTATAAACTGTTAAAGATAATTGCTAGTGATGGAAAGGTAATTAAGTTGGCTTGCCTAGCTACCACGAGTAGGCGCCATCACGACTCTGATGGTGGGAAATCCGGGTCGTGACAAGAAAGGGCTAAACGGGGTCGTTTTGGGTAAATGGGGTTTGGACCGGATTCGGTATTTGGGATGGGGGGTATTCTAGAGGGAATTGGGCCTGGGGTAGATTGGCCCAGTCCGATTAGCCCTTAAAAATGGGGTTTTGACACAGTTACCCACCAAAACAAAACTATTTACCCTTGTCTACCCATTTATTTTTCTACCCATACACTAATTAAATTTCCTACCCACAGTAGTTTTTGTGGGGAATTTTTTCTTTATTCTCCAATTCTTTTTTATTTCTATGCTTCTTTTCTTTTTTTGTTCTTTTTTTTTCTTTTCTCCTTTTTTTTTTCTCGTTTTCTTCTTATTTTTTTCTTTTTTCCTTTTCTAATTTCATTTAACTTCTTTTTTTATATTCTTTTTCTCTTCATAATCTAATTTCATTTACTGTTTTCACTATTTTTTATTGTTCTTTTTTTTAATACTATTACTAAAGAAAAATCAAATTGTGTACCAATTAAATGTAGCTAATACAATCAGAAAGTATTAACTAACATATGATACCGGTATCGTATATAGCTATACCAACAGGGTGTATAATTGTACGCAAAGAGTAAAAAAAATTAATTCAATTATTAAACTGAAATAATATCAGTTGTCAATAAAAATTTCAAAAAATTCTAAAAGGATCTAATTGTAAGAGTATACCGTTACATTATATAGCATACTATAAGTTTTTTTTTTTTTTTGCATTTTCAATTTGCCTCTAACGCTGGGTAAAAGCTTAAAGCAAATTAAAAGGGAAAGGCAAGTGAATTACGGGTAATAAGTATACTATTATAGTATATTGTATAATATTACAGCATACTGTTACAGTATATTGCATATTATTACAGTATACTATAACAATATATTGTATACTGTTGCAGTATAACTATATACTCCTATAGTATACTGTTGGAGTATAGCTATATACTCCTATAGCATATGTATACCGTAGCAGTATACTATTGGGTAGATGTGTTCTTCTTCGATTTTCAGCTGAAAATTTCGATCTCAATCACCTCAAATCAGCTCCAAATGCTATCAAATTTCAGTATGAACTTCCAGAAGGTATTATAAGCAATATTTAACAGCACTCACTTTGAATCAAACAAGAAATCTTCAAAATAAAAATTTTAAATTCAAGAGCTTCAAGCCCAATAATGGTGAATATTCAAATACACATAAAAGCTAGTACATGGGAGTACTGGTTTTCTTCGAGTTCATACGCAAACTTTCCCCAAATGATAATGGCCGAAAGTTTTAGACATAGGCTAAAAAAGTTCTTAAATAAAAAGCAGGTCAAATAGCAGAGTTCTAAAAGTGAAGTTATTATAATAAACTAAAAAGAAAAGTAAAGAATTCTAACTCTCTTGACAAAGAAGCAGAGAGATTAAAAACTGGACTCATTTGAAATTAAGGAGCCCTTTATTGCGGTTGGTGAGGCAGTGGCAGTGCGAATAGAATAAAGGGCGGGTAAATAGTTTGGGTCGCATGGGTAGGAGAAGTAAGTAATTTGGGCATGAGCATTAAAGGGTAAATAGTTTGGAATTAATGAGTATAAACTAAGATTTTCTCTTGGAAAATATGGTCAGCCCAAAGGCCCTATTTTTAGCTACTACCCCATTCCTTTTTTCTTTTACTTAGTGTATTTGATTTAGTTTTTTCCAATGGACCCACCCCATTTACTTTTAGTTAAATCCCTAAATCAAAAACTTCTTCTCCAATTATCTCTCTCCACACAGAAAACTTCTTTCCTAATTTTCAAAGCCCACATGCAACCACCAGTTATTAGTCCGCCAGTCCGCCTAAAGCCATCGAGTAATTGTTTTCGTCGTGACACTACTGCCTATAAACATTGTTAAGGTACTGTTACAGTGCACCCACTACCTTTAAATCCTGGATCCGCCTAGGTACGTTATATTATATTTCTTGTCCTGTTGGAAGCGTTATGATTCTCCATGTGACTCCTACATCTATTAATTAATTACTCAATCAAATAATGTTATATGACTAATGTTTTAACTTTTAAGTATCTCTCTTTCTCACTTTTTCTTTCAAAAAGAAACTGGCCTGCATGGTATACCACAGCATATGTTATCAGTATCTATACCTATTTAAGCTTTTAATACTATCTCCTAAGATTCATCGTTCGTTGGAATTACAGTAAACCCTCCCTATAACAACGTCGTTTGTTCCGATATTTTTTGGCTTTTATAGTGAATGACTGTAATACACCTATAACAGCATTTAACGCTAAAATAGTTTTTGGCAGTTATAGATAAAAATTATTCAGAAATCAATTATTTTTCCTTTTTCATTGTTACTCATAAAAAATAAGACAATTATTCAAATTTAAAATCTCAAAAGATTTGCATGTTGCACTAATTATATATTGAAGAAAGCTAATATTTTATTAATAAATTCATAACTAAAAATATAAAGATTTAAACTCTAAGGTGGACATTTTAAAGCTACCTAAATAAATAAAAAATTTCAAGATTGATGGAAGAACTTTGTAATTATAGCTTGTTTCGTAGATTTCATTCTCTTACTAGCGATATAACGCTTGAATTAGCGAAGATTCATGTCCAAATTTTTAGCAGAAAGGTATCCAATAACTTTCCCTTGAAGACAATCTAAGAGCTTAACAATTAAATTTTCTATCTAAATATTTTTTGGAATTTGTCCAATGGAAAAGATATCGTGTGCAAATCTTCAAATCTTATATCTTATGCAAGATAGAAACTTTGCTTAATGAAAAAGATAAGTGCATATTCTTAGAATCATTATTAGTAATCTTAAAGATTCTATATGGCTGTTATAGAGGGGCAATTTTACAAAGAGCTTTCTGCTATAAATATAGACATTGTTGTCACAGGTTTAAAGATGTTATAGAGAGGTAAAATATAACTTAAAAATCATATCTAAGAAAAACTTGACTTTTATAGTGAATCGTTGTTATATGGGGATGTTGTTATAGAGATGTCTGACTGTACTAGATGCACTACCTAAAAATATACATAATTTATACATAGTGGATTCAAAATCTTGATTCAATAGATAAAAATAAATGCATAGTATTATTGCATCCAGTATACACTACAACATTTTAGGCCTATAGCCACACTTATTTAGGCAATGCTCAAAAGTGTTGCCAAAAGTATCTATAGGAACACTTTTTAGACGTGACCTTTGAGTAAAGACTTTGGCCACGGGTTTTAAGGTAACACCTATAAAGCGTTCCGTTTAGTTGTAAAGATAACATTTTCTAAGTGTTGCCTAAAAAAAAAATTGGCCATGCTTTTTAATTATATTGCAACATTTTTGGACAGTTGCTATATTGTCATACTAAATACAACAAGCGTACCCTAAAAATTACTTATAAAAAATATTTTTCAAAAAATTTCCCACCAAAATTACACTTAATTTTCGGCCAATTCTCATAAGTCCAAGATAACCCTATAGGAATAAGTAGCAAAACAGTTTTCACGCCACGGCTGCTCCAATGCCGTCAAGCTGCTTCTATTTCTTCGTTGCTTCATCCTTGGTTGCTGCTCTTCTATTGCTTTTAGAATTGTAAGTTCTCAGGCTTTTAGATCTAGTTATATTCTTGGCCATCTCTGTTTTCTTTAATTTTCTAATCCCAAGAAAGAAAGAACGGGAACAAGCCTCTACAAAATTAATTTAGATAAAAACCATCTCATGAAAAAGTCTCTAATGGGTACTCTTTACTTTCCCAATTTATGATCTTGCCTTTTGGCGATCTTTATCTTTTTAGGTAGTTAATATTTTTGTTGCAAAATATTATATTTCTTGATAGACTATTTAAAGTTCACTTTGTAAATTATAACGGTGGAAAAGAAAGTATAAATTCCTGTAGCATGACGAATAGCAAACGAAGATAATGTAGTTAGGTAAGTATCACAATCATTGAATAGAAACTAAATTATTCCAGATTTTGAATCCACTTTTTGCCTCATATTGTGAATTTGGGTATTCTCAATTTCTAAATTTTTATATTGTTCACCTTCATTTTTTGCAAATTCAGTGTAGTTATATAGTGATTGTTTATTTGAAGTTATCAAGTTTTAACACTTATTTGAAGTTATCAGGTTTTAACTCTTTTAATATCCTTTTTTTTTTTATATGTATATTCACTTCTTAATCTGGCCCGAAAGTACGGTTTGATGGATATATGGTCCTATGCGCACCTAAGAGATGTTGGAGTTACCTTTACAGTGGCAATTATCTAACTTCTATGGCATGATATTGATTTCAAACTTAGAGTTATTACTGCCCAATTGAACGAGATGTTTTAATGTGCTTTTTATTATAGATTTGCAATGAATCAGAAGACGAGCTTGAAACAGAGGACGAGTTTGAATAGGAGGAGGACGAGTTTGATTCTGAGGATACATTATGAGTTTGATTATAATTCAAATAGAATATAGCTCAGCCCTTTCTTGATTAATAATTAAAGGCACATTAAATATTAGTAGATACTTGCTTTAGACTCAAATGAATGATATTTGCTTGCCGATGTTTCCTTGTCTATTTTGTCATGTTCTAATATTAATTTTTTTTCCTGATGGTTTCTTTCTTATGCTTATATATTTCCTACTCGTGTAATTTTAGAGTCTCACTTTTGGTTTTTAAAGCATTTGGTTACTATTAAGTGTGCCTCAATTTAGTTTCATAGCATGAGGAACTATATTACATCATATATGAAAAGAGGTTTAAGTCCTCTACTTTTGCAATAAATATCCCCAGAAGTAAACGTGAGTAAGTAGAAATTATAGTTCTGAATTTGTCACTAATCTTATTACTGGAGTATTGAAAAATGTGTTAAAGTATACATATTTCTTTTTTTTTTTTATCAGGTGGTGCTCATTCAACTAAAGAAAATTGTGGACTATGAGGAAGCAAATAAATACTGAACAGGTATATCTCTGCAACTCTATTTATCTATTTAGGAAGCATAGGCTATTTGTTTTTGTAACTGAACAACTTGTGTTCCTTTGACTTAGCAATTTCCATCTTTCAATTGGCTAAGTGGAAAGAAAACATAAGCTTTCCCTGCTGATTCTAGTTACTCCTTCAGGTGTAGTACTAGCTCTGGGATTCAATGTTTCTAGAGCTGCATTAAAGTCTTCATTTTTTAACCTGTAGTACTTCACTTAGCATCTCAAATTAATTTGAGAGGGAGTGTTGAAAGTCTATATCTTGTTCTTCTTTTACACGGTCTCTTTCTTTTGCCCCCTTCAACAATATCAACAAAGAAGCTGCAGGCTCAGGTAAAGCCACAAGGCTAAGAGTTTAATTCCTTTATTTAGTTTCTTGAATTTTATGAAGTAAATGAAAACACAAGTAATCTTCTTCTTCTTCTTCTCGGAAGAAGATGAGTACTCAACCTCATAAAGAAACATAAAAGCTTCCATTTTTATTAGATGCTTTGTACTGTGAAGAAGACACTTGGGAAGAGGATTTTTTTCACTGAGGAAGCAAAGGTAGAAGAAGGAGAATGGAGCTGGTGGTTCTCTCCACACTGGAATGGAAGATGAATCCAGTGACCCCATTTTCATATCTTGATTACATCAGTAGGAGGCTTGGATTGAAGAACTGTCTTTGTTGGAAATTTGCGAGGAGGTGTGAGAGGGTGCTTCTGTACACATTTACTGATTATAGAATCATTGGTTACCTTCCTTATGCAATGGCTTCTGCCACAATGTTGCATATTATTGATATACTACAACCCTGCATTGGAGACAAGTACCAAGAAAACTTTTTGACATCCTTGGTATTGTCAAGGAAAAGGGAGTCAAGAAAATGACCATTAATTAAATTGATATCTTTAAATATTTTCTTAATAGGCTAGTGATCATCACTTAGTTACATATGTATAATGTTCAATAGCAGTACTTGTCTCAACTAAAAAAATATCTTGTTCTTTTATGTGTCTGCACAAATATATTTTGAGCTTTTATTTCTTTATCTTTTCAAATCTTAACTATTCTTAGTCAATTGATGCAAAACAACTCTGAATTGAATTTTCATGATATGCAAGGGTGTGCCGGATCTAATACTCCTTCACCGGTTGATGCAAGTAGTGCACGAGCTATAAGAGGCCAAAATCTACGACATTCTTCTGGCTCAACTCATGCTCCGAGTCTTGAAAAGGTATTTATATTTCACAACTTCCAAAAAACTACTTCAATTTTAACTTACAAAACCATGCTTTTCTAAATTATTTGCTTTTGATGGTTTTGTTACATGATAGCGCTAGTACAAAATCATGCAATTGTGTTATTCTAATTGGGATTTACAAAGACTCTTAAAAAAAATTGAGTCTTTTTGCTGAGTTTCATCAGTTAAGAAAAAAATAATATCACTTTCAGACCTTTACCATATTCTCACTGCTGTAGTTCCACTGTATGTAGCAATGATCTTTGCTTATGGTTCAGTAAAATGGTGGAAAATCTTCACCCCAGATCAATGTTCAGGGATCAACAGATTTGTTACTCTTTTTGCTGTTCCATTGCTATCTTTTCACTTCATTGCTTCCAACCATCCTTATGCAATGAACTATATGTTCATAGCTGCTGAGTTCAAGAGGTTCCCTTGAATGGTCCTTTGTTAAAGGGTATGTATGGTGAAGCCTCATGAAGTTTAATGGTCCAAATCATTGGGTTTCATTCTTAAAAAACAAAACTCTCCCACTTAAAGATCAATAACTTTATCACTGGCATGAAAGAGAAGTTAGTATCAAATCCCCTTTTGTTCTTAATAGGTTTAAATCCACTAAAACATAAACTTTATCCCAACTTTTGGAGCCAAAATGCTAGCATACAGTAGTTTTTTTTCTTTATACCCACTGGTCCTACGAAGGGAGGGGCTATTAATTTCTCACCCCTACTAAATCTCTAAGTTTTTTTCCTTATACCCACTGGTCCTAGGAAGGGAGGAACATGAACAACTTTTGTTTTGTGTGGTAAAGCACTATTCTTAACTGTCTATTTTTTATTTAGTAGAATTGTCTGAAGCCTACAATTAAATTATTGTCGATTTGAAATTCACATAAGTTGATATCCGTTAGAATTATGAGAGATTTTGGTTCACTTCCTAATCAAAGAAGTTAGAAATTATGATATTATTATTAACAGTTTTTAATTTGCTAGATTGATTGCCATATATGTTAGGACCAAATTCATCTTGGCTAGCTATTGCACTTTTACATTTGATCCTTATCTAAAGTAAGAATCGTAAGTTAAGTTGCAGATGCAAGTTGAGATAAGTGCACAGAATTTTCAAGTAAAATGTATGTTAATTTACATTTTTGCTTCTCTTTCACTTGTACATCTTTTTTGTGTATAACTTAGTTATGTTATAGTACTGAAAATAAATCTCATTAGTTCTTAGTAAGATATAACCAATGTATAATATATATAGGTTTCTTTCTAAATTTTAATTTCATTTTGAATGTGTAGGAAAATGCGGATGATGCAATTGGAAATGGTGGCCGCAAATCAATTTGATCTACTAAAGTGGATGGTGAAGACATTTTGAACAATTGTGATTAATATATATATATATATATATATATATATATATATATATATATATATATATATATATATATATTACATCCGATTTCGTAGAGTTCTTTCCTAGTGAGCTCCTTGAAGCAGTGGTTTATTACTATGGGTAGTACACAAATTATGTTTCTTTGTTGAAGTTTGTTTCAACTATATGCATTTTAATTATTTTTATTATGTTACTTATTATCAAATTTAATACTTGAGATCATAACGTATATGCTTGAAATAAATATGAATACAGAACTTAATGTAAACAAATATAATTTTTTAACCACAAAATTATGGCTAATTTAAATATTTAAAAAATTACTTTATAGTGTAGATAAAATTGCCACTCTTAGAAATTGTGGCCATAGGGATTGTCAATCTGGCATTGTTCATGATAAATTTTGCTTTAGATGCCATGCTTTAAAAGCATGGTCTATATGGTTACAAAGATCACGCTTCAAATGTGTAGCCTTATGTCATTAAAGCGTGGCTATATGAGAAAATATAAGTGTGGCCGTTGTACCATATCGGCCACACTTTTAAAGCGTGGATTCTAAGGCAACACCTACAAAGCGTAGCCAATAGTCAAAGGTACGGTACTTTAGGCCACCCTACCAAAAGCGTTGCCTAAAGTCGTAAAGTGTTACCTTTGATCAAATGCTACACTTCTTGGCATCTTAGGCCACACTTCCCAGGAGTGGCTAGAGGCCTAAAATGTTGTAATGATATATTCTGTTATTCCATGTGTACCTTTAAGATAAATATTTTCAATTCCCTTTTTCTTTTCTTTTTAAACTATATTTATTTTTATTCAATAGATAAAAATAAATGCATAGTGTATATATATTCACTTTTCCAAACCAAAAACAAGTTTGTGGTGTATTTAGTTGATATTTCTCCATGCCCTTGATATCATTCCACCATGCACAATTGTTATCTTCCTTCTTTCTCTTTTTTCCCCCTTCCGTTTCCACCTAAATATAGTTTAAAAAGAAAAGAAAAGGGAATTGAAAATACTTATCTTAAAGCACATTTTTATTATTTTTCCTATACTTGTCCAAATTACGAATATGAAAATGCATTCCCAAATTTGCAATGGAATAATACAAATAAAGTCTAGATTCATAGCTACAAAAGAGGTATTGAAGGAGAGGTACACATGGAATAACAGAATCCATTAATATCACAATCAAGTGACATCACTATATATGTATTCTCAATTAATATTGGTGACATAATTTTAAAAGTTACTATTTTTAGCTTTTAATTACTACATGACAACAAAATATAGGAATTTATTGGAGAATTTAACAACTCCTATTAGCTAATCAAGTTGTCTTCTGTTGTTTTCATTTTCTTGACCGACAATAGTGATAATAAGGTAGCACATGCAAGACATGTTCATAACGTGAGCTCTCGACAAATCGTGAGAAGTTTCTTTCTTCTATTCTTTTAACCATTAATACGTTAGAAAGTTTGTTTTGCCACCTCTCTATAACAACCTCGTTTGTTCCGAATATTTTTGGATGTTATAGCGTAGTGTTGTTGCAGGACTTCTGCTAAAGGGGTTCAAAAAAAGAATAAGTTAAAAAATATAAAGAGATTGTAACTAGTGAAAATTGAACCATCGACCTCATAATAGATTTGAACTCCCTTAACCACTAAGCCATGCTTTTGGGCTGTGAAAAGGGGATTCAAAACATAATATATAGAGACAAATACCAGATTTTTTCTTATACACATAGTGTAATTTTTCGGCGAAGGGGGTTCGGGTGAACCCCTAAATTTGCCCCTGGCTGTTATAGAGAGGTCTGACTATATCTTTCTATATGTACTTTAATCTTTTATTATCAGTACTATTGTTATGTGATATACTGATATTTATTGGAATCATGATCATGTTCCTGGCTTGAAAAATAATTGAATAAATACAAATATCAATGTCAATCGGCAGACATTATGAGCATATATGAATATGCCTGAAACCTAAGTGTGGGGTAAGTTCAGCCACTGTTGTTCACAGGATAAATAATTGGAGGCAGCTTTAAAAGTGATTCGTTATCTCAAAGGCTTTAAGTGTCAACACGAATTGACACGAAACAATAAGAATTTATTCTTTGTTAGATTCTTAAATTTAGTAAATAGGCATGATAGGTTTGACTATTATAAAGAAAAAATCGACAGAACCACGAACGCCCCTCCTTCGAAGTCTCTCATTAACTCGAACCCACGACCTTGAGGTTATAAGTAGGGGCGCTGACACGGGGCGGATGCATATTTGATGAAACAATGTTACATGACACCGCTTCGTCGGAAAATTTTATTGCATATATGTATTAATGCTGTAAGAAAACTGATAAGTAGTCAAAAATGACACCCCTTGACATGAATTGTCGTTGGTTATCTGCTTGATTTTGCTCACAAATATTTGAGAGAGCCTCTATAGTTAAAATTGTCCTCAAGAAAAATTGAACTCGAGACCTTTTCTAACTTAAGACTCAACAAAACCAATAGATTAAAAATATTTCTCCAAAAGTATGATAATTAAAGTTATTATTCTTGTTCTTTTATAAATTTCGACACTTTTTACAAAAATTCTTGCGTACGCCCTTGCTTACACCGTCTTGTCAGGTTATTACATTAACAATATCAAATATCTAATTTAAGAAAAGGAAGGAAATATAAACACTTGATCCCTACACAACTAAGAAGATTAAAGAATACCAAATGTAAGAATCAAAGCAAGCATAGTTTTTCACGTGGGGCTTCTACGTGAAGATCAAGGATAAGGAAAAGAGACGAGGAGAATCAGAGAATTGAAACTCAAAAGGATCGACGCGAAACGATAAAAGTTTATGCTTTGTTGATTCCTAAATTTAGTGAACGGACATAAATGTTTCTTCTAATTCCGTAATATTTATTAACAAAATAAATGGCAGATTGACTAATAGGTTCATGATTGTTACAACTAACGGTTAAAAACAAGAGAGGCACTCTAACACTGTCTTGAGTTGATTATCAAGCATAAGGAACTACTCAAATTATCTGATTTCAGGGTGGACAGTGGTCACACAAGTGAAATTGACGACAGAATAGAGGCCTACATTTACACACCACCTCTCCTAAATCAAGAGGGCAGTGGGGTGGTGAGAAAAACAGAACGTAATAAGGGAAAAAAACGGCCGAAAAGAAGGATCACTTTCCCAAGTAAAACTTGACNCAAAAAAAACTGTAACTGAACTATACTCATAAACGCAAAACNCTTTCCAGTCAGCCCTCCACGGTTTCTCAGGGTGGCCCCCACGGTGATCGTGGTTCGTCGTGGGTAGTATTTTGATCAGCAGCCCATCAGTGCACAGCCTCTTCAGAGTTTTCGTGGAGGTCATTCGGGTCGTCGGGGCCAGTTTCATCGTACAGAGGGATGTTATGAGTGTGGCGAGTATGGTCACATCAGGAGAGCTTGCCCGAGATTGAGGGGTACACAGTTACAGCAGCAGGGTCCTCGCCCTATGATTCAGGCACCAGGTGACCCACAGCCTGCCCAGCCAGCCAGGGGCAGGGGTAGGGATCATAGAGGTGGAGGTCGAGACCCTAGAGGTGGAGGACGGACCGCCAGAGGTAGGGGTCAGCTGGTAGCCGATCGTCCCAGAGACATGGTTCAGGGAGGTGGAGCTGATCCCCGATTTTATGCTTTACCAGCCAGACCAGAGGCTGAGTCGTTAGATGCCGTTATTACAGGTACTATTCTGGTTTGCGATAGAGATGCGTCAGTGCTATTTGACCCTGGGTCTACATATTCATACGTGTCGTCTTATTTTGCACCCTGTCTGGCTATGTCTAGTTATGCTTTGGACATTCCTGTTTATGCATCTACACCGGTGGGTGACTCTATAGTAGTTGACCGGGTGCATCGTTCCTGTGTGGTTGTGTTTGAGGGTCTAGAGACCCGTGTTGATTTACTGCTTTTAGATATGGTGGATTTTGACGTTATATTGGGGATGGATTGGTTGTCCCCGTATCATGCTATCTTAGATTGTCACGCCAAGACCGTGACCTTGGCTTTGCCAGAATTGCCCCGACTAGAGTGGAAAGGGACTTCGGGTCATGCCACTCGCAGTGTTATTACATATGTCAAGGCTCGACGCATGGTCGAGAAGGGGTGTTTAGCTTATCTGGCATATGTCCGTGGCTCCAGCGCAGAGGTTCCTTCTATTGACTCTGTTCCTATTGTTCGAGAGTTCCCTGAGGTTTTCCCTTCAAACCTGCCGGGCATGCCGCCCGACAGAGATATTGATTTCTGTATTGATCTGGCTCCGGGCACGCAGCCCATTTCTATTCCGCCGTATCGCATTGCCCCGCCAGAGTTGAAGGAGTTAAAGGACCAGTTGCAGGAATTACTAGAGAAGGGTTTTATCAGGCCTAGTGTTTCTCCTTGGGGTGTGTCGGTGTTATTTGTAAGGAAGAAGGATGGTTCGATGCGGATGTGTATTGATTACCGGCAGTTGAACAAGGTGACGATAAAGAACAAGTATCCACTGCCGAGGATTGATGATTTGTTTGACCAGCTTCAGGGAGCAAAGGTGTTTTCAAAGATAGACTTGAGATCTGGCTACCATCAGCTGAAGATTAGGGCGTCTGATGTCCCTAAGACAGCATTCCGCACTCGGTATGGGCACTATGAGTTTTTAGTCATGTCGTTTGGGTTAACCAATGCCCCAGCAGCATTTATGGAGTTGATGAACCGAGTGTTCAGGCCATATCTAGACTTATTCGTGATAGTCTTTATTGATGACATCCTGGTGTACTCTCGCAGCCAGGAAGAGCACGAGCAGCACCTCAGAGTGGTTCTTCAGACTCTGAAAGATAGTCAATTATATGCTAAGTTTTCGAAGTGCGAGTTCTGGTTGAGTTCGGTTGCATTTCTGGGTCATATTGTATCAGCAGAGGGTATTCAGGTGGACCCGAAGAAGATTGAGGCAGTCAAGAATTGGCCTCGACCAGCTTCAGCGATCGAGATTCGGAGTTTCTTGGGGTTAGCAGGTTATTACCGTCGGTTCGTGGAGGGATTTTCTTCTATTGCAGCCCCGATGACCAGATTGACCCAGAAGGGTGCCCAGTTCAGGTGGTCAGATGAGTGTGAGGCGAGCTTTCAGAAGCTCAAGACAGCTCTGACCACGGCACCGGTGTTGGTTTTGCCCACGGGTTCAGGGCCTTACACAGTCTATTGTGATGCTTCCCGTATTGGGCTTGGAGCAGTATTGATGCAGGATGGCAAGGTTATTGCTTATGCTTTGAGACAGTTGAAGATCCACGAGAAAAACTATGCGGTTCATGATCTAGAGTTGGCAGCGGTTGTTCATGCTTTGAAGATTTGGAGGCATTATCTATATGGTGTGAATTGTGAGGTGTACACGGATCACAAGAGCCTGCAGTATCTGTTCAAGCAGAAGGAGTTGAATGTGAGGCAGAGGAGATGGCTAGAGTTGTTGAAAGATTATGATGTTACTATCTTATATCACCCGGGTAAGGCCAATGTGGTGGCCGATGCATTGAGTAGGAAGTCTGCCAGCATGGGTAGTCTTGCTTATATCCCGGTCAGCCAGAGACCGCTTGCTTTAGATATTCAGGCGTTGGCCAATCGATTGGTGAGATTAGATATTTCTGAGCCTAGCAGAGTGTTGGCTTGCACGGTCGCTCGTTCTTCTCTATTGGAGCGTATCCGTGATCGGCAGTTTGATGATCCCCATTTGTGTGTCCTGAGAGACACGGTGCAGCGTGGAGGTGCCACGAAGGTGACTTTAGATGATGATGGCGTTTTGAGATTGCAGGGTCGAGTTTGTGTGCCCAATGTTGATGGGATTCGAGAGTTGATCTTAGTGGAGGCCCACAGTTCTCAGTATTCTATTCACCCGGGCGCCGCGAAGATGTATCAGGACTTGCGGCAGCATTATTGGTGGCGTAGGATGAAGAAGGATATTGTTGCATATGTGGCTTGGTGTTTAAACTGTCAGCAGGTCAAGTATGAGCATCAGAGGCCTGGTGGTTTGTCTCAGAGGATTGAGCTTCCTGAGTGGAAGTGGGAGAGGATTACCATGGATTTCATTACTGGACTTCCGTTGACTCGAAAGAAGTTTGATGTTATTTGGGTCATTGTTGATAGGTTGACTAAGTCAGCGCATTTCATTCCAGTAGCAGTCTCATATTCATCCAAGAGGTTAGCTGAGATTTATATCCGGGAGATTGTTCGCCTTCATGGTGTGCCGGTATCTATCATTTCGGATCGGGGTACGCAGTTTACCTCGCCCTTCTGGAGAGCGGTTCAGCAAGATTTAGGTACCCAGGTTCAGTTGAGCACAGCGTTCCATCCTCAGACGGACGGTCAGTCCGAGCGGACTATTCAGATTTTGGAGGATATGCTCCGAGCGTGTGTCATTGATTTTGGAGGCTCGTGGGACCAGTTTCTGCCTTTAGCAGAGTTCACCTACAACAACAGTTACCAGTCCAGCATTCAGATGGCTCCATATGAGGCATTGTATGGTAGGCAATGTCGGTCTCCAGTCGGATGGTTCGAGCCGGGAGAGGCTCGGTTATTGGGTACAGACTTAGTTCAGGAGGCCTTAGATAAGGCCAAGATTATTCAGGAGAGGCTTCGTTCAGCTCAGTCTAGGCAGAAGACTTATGCAGACCGCAAGGTCCGAGATGTAGCTTTCATGATTGGAGAGCGAGTATTGCTTCGGGTGTCGCCCATGAAGGGCGTGATGAGATTCGGGAAGAAGGGCAAGCTTAGCCCTAGGTACATTGGTCCGTTTGAGATTCTTGATCGAGTAGGAGAGGTGGCTTATAGGCTTGCATTGCCACCTAGCTTATCAGCCGTGCATCCAGTTTTTCATGTGTCTATGCTTTGGAGGTATCACGGCGATCCTACCCATGTATTAGACTTCAGCACGGTCCAGTTGGACAAGGATCTGTCATATGAGGAGGAGCCGGTAGCTATTCTAGGCCGACAGGTTCGACAGCTAAGGTCGAAGAGTTTTCCTTCTGTTCGTGTTCAGTGGAGAGGTCAGCCCCCTGAGGCCTCGACCTGGGAGTCCGAGTCTGACATGCGGAGCCGTTATCCACATCTATTTCCTGACTCAGGTACTTCTTTCTTTTGTTCGTTCGAGGACGAACGGTTGTTTTAGAGGTGGAGGATGTGACGACCCAAAGAGTCATCACCTGTTTCCTCATTCATTCTGTGCTTTCGAGGCCTTGAAAACCTTATTTACTTGCCTCGATTTGCGTGCGCATTCCGGGCGCGTAGCCGGAAAAGCTTTTATGTTGAAATATGTGAATTCTGTGAAAAATTTGAAGAATTTTGATATTAATATGTTTAAGGTTGACTTCGGTCAACATTTTTGGTAAACGGACCCGGACCCGAGATTGGACTGTCCCGGAAGGTCCGTAGAAAAATATGGGACTCGGGCATGTGCCCGGAGTTGAATTCCGAGGTCTAGAGCCCGAGAAATGAATTTTTCTATGAAATTGTTTTTCTGAAATTAATAAGGAAAATGGAAATGAAAATTTATTAAAAGACTGTGGTATCGGGCTCGTATTTTGGTTCCGACGCCCGGCACAAGTCATATATATTGTTTAAGCACTTTCTGTGAAGTTTGGTCGAAATCGGACGTCGTTTGACGTGTTTCGGACCTAAATATCTAAAGTTAGAAGTTTATGAAGTTTTAAATGAAAATGATGATTTTGAGGCTTGATTCAATGACTTTGATGTTATTTTGGCGATTTGATCGCTCGAGTAAGTTCGTAGGACGTTACTGAGTTAGTGTGTGTGATTGGTTAGGAGCCCCGAGGGCTCGGGAGTGAATTGGAGGTGGTTCGGGGTGTTTTTGGCCTTAGAGTTGTTGCAGAAGTACTGCTTCTGGTGTTCAGAGAATTTGTTCTCTGCGATCGCGATTCCATTCCTGCGATCGCATAGAGTCTTCTCCAGGCATTTCCAAATTTCTTCAACGCGATCACATAAGTTGTCCCGCGATCGCATAGTCTGACCATTTTCTTCAATGCGATCGCACTCACCTCTACGCGATCGCACAGCTTTACACTTCGCCCAAAAGTCTTGGCTTCCCTTCTTCTATGCGAACGCACGAATTGTTCTGCGATCGCGGAAGCCAAGCTTCCACTCCTCTATGATCGCATCAATTGCCCCGCGATCGCATAGACCAAAAACGCCCAGTTATTTTAAAGCCTAAAAACAGAACCAGTGACGGGATTCCTTCATTCTTTTCACACGAGCTCTCCTCTTAAACCCTCCATAGACGAAATTCAAGCTCTCCTTCCTCCATAACTCTTTGGGTAAGTAATCTTAACATCATTCCCTCATTATTTCTTCATCTAATTACTAATTTCCTAGCCCTAAATCATGAAAATAAAGTAGAAATTAAGGGTTTTGGGCAGAGTAGGGTTTTGAGAATTTTGGGTGATTCAACCTCAATTTGGGGTCGAATCTTCAAAAAAATTACATATTTGGATTCGTGGGGTTATGGGTGATCGGGTTTTGGTCCGAGCCTCGAGTTTGGACCATGTGGGCCCGGTGTCTAATTTTGGTATTTTTGGAAGAATGCTAGAAAATTCATATCTAGGCTATGGGATGTTGCCATTGAGTCTTTATTGATATTATTGAATTAATCATGCCTAGATATCACTGTTTCGGAGTCGGATTGTAGAGGAAAGGCGGTCTTTGAAGGTTGATTGCTATTCTTGGGACCGAGGTAAGTGTTTGGTTTAACCCTAGCTTGAGGGAATAGGAGTTGAGTCTTGTTGCTAATTGCTATGTGATCGAGTACGATGTATAGGCATGGTGACGAGTATCTATACATTGGTGTCTAGCATGACCGTGAGTCCTTATAATGTGATTATCATGATTTGGTTGTGAACTCCGTGTTTATTGGAGGATTTCTATATGTTGTGAATAACATGTGAACGGTAATAGGATCATTTGATTCCTGGAGCATTCGCTCGAATTGTGATACGAATATTGAAAGTATACGAAATGACTTGATTCTTTGGAGCGTTGGCTCAAAATAGTAAAGTGAATTATAAGATAAGGAAAGTAAGAAAGAGAAAGCGTTGTTGATATTCCCTTGTCGGGACATTTGGTTGCATTTGTTGAATTCTTTCCCTTGCCGGGATGTTTGTCAAATATTTGCTTATTTTGTGCCCCTTGATTGTGACTATTGTTTGGGGAGTCGGACTGTACAATGATATTGAGGATCGGGTTGTGCGCCGCAACAATGATATTGAGGATCGGTTTGCACGCCGCAACAGTAAAAGGTGAGGATCGGGTTGCGCGCCGCAACAATGATACATGATAAATGATATGGGTCGGGTTGCGCGCCGCAACGGTGGTATTTGTGGAGCGGGTTGCACGCCGCAACAATAGTAATTATGGAGCGGGTTGCACGCCGCAACAGTTATTGAGGCTATGTGTTTGTATTTGAGTATTGATTCTTTATTCATTGTGAACCTAAGCTGTTTTTAATGGTTACTCTGGATTGTTGTTAATATTGTATCTCCCCTTAGCATGTCTCCCCTCCCATGTTGTTAATTGTTTTGTATTCGATTTTCGTGGTATATTTACAACTGCACAGGTTTACGTGGTGTCCGGTCTAGCCTCGTCACTACTTCGCCGGGGTTAGACTAGACACTTACCAGCACATGGGGTCGGTTGTGCTGATGCTACACTTCTGTGCATTTTTGCACAGGTCCAGGTTTTGAGGAGCAGCAGCAGCAGTAGTACGGGAGCAGGCCTTCATATCACGAGACTGAGGTAGCCTTGCAGGCGTCCGCAGGCCCGGTGTCTCTTCTTTATTGTTTTCGTTTAGACTGTTGCCTCCTTGTTTCGAGACAGACA